GAGAGAGAGAGAGAGAGAGAGAGAGAGAGAGAGAGAGAGAGAGAGAGAGAGAGAGAGAGAGATGTGTGTGTGGGATGATGCCTTTCTCTAACCCTCTGTATAAATTTTGATTTCAACCTTGGCTGATCTTGTTACGACCGTTTCGGACCTTCTTGCGAATCATTTTGGGTTTTCTGCTTATGGTGTGTGTGGAATGAACTCGCGCGCTTCCCACATCCCTCCTCGCGCGATCCTTGGATGACTAGTTTAACTCAAATTTCGTCACTTTCTAGTCCCCATTCTGCGCTCGGGTTGGATGCGCTCCTCATGCATATTACGAAATTGCCAACCTTCGGATCTTGTGTGTGAGATGGTGTCTTTCTTTTTCTCGTTTATGTAGTTTTGGTAAGTGACGTCGGTCCTCTTTTACTCATGACTACCCCTGGTTTGTGTTTTTCTTAGTGATCGGTTTGATTTCCCCCCTTACTCATGTTTCATTGCAGTATGGTGAGATCGGGCACGACGATTGTCTGCGCAGGACCCCGGTGAGCTTGGGTTATGATGATGTAGGCCTCCTCGGTGACATGGCTTGATGCGTAAACCTTTGTCGATCTCTCATTTATGCTTTTTATGGAGATTCGCACGGCCCTCGAGTTTGATTGATGCATGAGTTCGATTGATGCCTGAGTATGTCAATTTCCCGTTCCCTTTTGGACAAAAAGGAGAATCTAACGAACACTCGGTGGTCCCGGCTGATGCATGCTCTGGTGGATAAGTGGATGGCTGATTCAAATGTGTGATTACCCGCTGATTGCGTTCCTAATGTCTGTTTCTTGACACGCGCACGGGTTAGCATGACGACGGATCAGACAATCTCCCGACCAAAGGGATAGCCAATCAATCCGATCCAACCGACGCTCGCCCCCTACTAGCCTCGAACCCCGTGCTCCGAGTGCTAGCAGGACAGAGAGTACCGAACCGCGGGGTTTGTTCGACGAACCCGGACTGAGGCCGAACAGCGAGCACACAGCCTGCGCCTGAGGCCCGCTTCGTCCGACTTAGAGGCTTGTCACGAGCGACACTGACGATTGGTTAGGCAACGCGATACACATAGCGTTCTGTCAGTTCACCAAATCCGAGCCCGGCCTCGACAACAAAACTCGTGGGGATGGCGATGATATCCCCAAAGGCATAAAAGTCGGACGCGGTTCACGCTTGCTATCTTGCATAACTGTTCCTAAGGCTTGCCACAGGAGATTTCAATTCTGACCTGGAACTCCACCCCCACTATCCTAAAATCCTTGGCACACCCCTTTTTCGCACTTCCGGGCCCCCATCCCACTCCGATCAGGAAGTTGCGCTGGGCGTGAGGTTGGGCGTCACAACGTACCAGGGTGCTGTTTTGCTGTAAAACCATACGTGCAAATCCGGCTTTGCATGTGACCCGTTTTCCCGGATGGATGGATTTCCAGCGAAACGGCACCCCGGTACATCCTGCACGACATGGCTGCATGCACAGTCGTCCTAGAAAATTGGCTGGGAAACGGTTGAAAAGACAGGGGACCAAAAAAAAAGAAGAGCAGCATTGATTGCACTCACCTGAGAGAATAGACTGCCTTCACTGGAACTGACTGGGGCATGCCACTGTACTCTCAGCAAAGTGCAAGAAATCTATCCCGAAGCACGTTTGCAAAGGTCCTTGGAAGCCTATTCCTAAGGGCGTTTTCAAACGTCCTGAGGAATGGTCTCTTGCTTCTGTCAGACTTTTGCAGGCACGTCACCAGTTATACCAGGGTACTGGTAGGGCCTTGCTTTTCCTCCCTCTAATGTCGGTCCACACGATCACCCAGATATCCATGGGAGTCACTCAAACGTCACTCAATCGCCTCCCCCCTTTGGAGACCGCCCTGTGGAATGGCGCCTCAGACTGAACCTGAAGTTCCAGACGACCAGGGTGTAGGATCAGCACCAGGGTACAGCGGCATGAGGGCAATGAGCCCTCTTTCGTTTTGTGCTCGAGAGGGCGAGTGCGAGGATTTCAACCAGTGATTAGCACTAACGGCTGCGAACCGCCTATGCTTGTTGAACCACCCTGCTTGTTCGGACTAAACAGCACCTGCCTTCTGAAAACGTGAACCATTTCTCGATTTGTGCGTGGCATCCTCGCGCAGGGGCCATGCTACTCTTCTGTGTACCGTTCCATTGTCCCGAGGGACAACGGGCGAGGGACAAAGGGGGCCTTGTTTTGAAAACAGAAGACAGACGACGAATGCCACGTCGGACCCAACGCCTGACTTCTGCAGGGAAACGTCTCCATGGTAGCGTTGGCCCGAGGCGTTGAGCTCCGCGGAGGAAATGAGACCCAAGCGCCAGATACGGTGGTAGCCGATTGTTGGATTGGACAGTTCCTCGGCGTCCCCTGAGTTCTAACTATTGGGAGCACACTCATGCTGCTTGGGCCCCAGGGTCCGGCGATTCGCCGGGGAAACGAGAACGAGGAAGGAACGAAAAGCAATGCCGGAGTCCAGCTGCCGAACTACGTAGGCTGGTCCCATAAGCAGAATGGCGGTTTCAGTGCCAACAAAGCGGCCATCCCGAAGTTCGAAGCCTGGCTGCTACTCTGGCCATCGCAGATGAGATCTCTGATCGCAGATGGCGATCTGATAAAGAAGATCTGGACAGCACAATTGCATCACCAAGATGAGCGAGAAGGAGTGCGGCTTGATGGGTGGGCGGGCTGGACACGCTGTTGCGCTTCCGAGTCGGCTCGCGCCTTTCTCTGACTAGAACCGACCTCGCCCCAAGCGGCGGGCGAAGATTTGCGTGCGAAGGACGCAGCACCGAGATGCAGCCGTATAGGCGGGACGGCTCGTCTCAAATCTGCCTCCCGTTCTCTCGGGTCGTCGTTCTCGGCTGTCATTAGCCCGCGCTCGCTCATCTTCTTCGATGCCAAGATTAGTCTGGATCAGGGGGAACGTTGGTTTGGCATAGTATTTATGGGAACGGACGTTTGGCGGTTCGAGATATTGAGCCGGGAGCTGGACTCGTGGAGTACGGTAGTGTATGCGGAAGTCTGTTTACCGTCTTTACCGTCGCGGGCGAGAGCTGTCACACCTGTCTCTTTGCGTCTCAGAGTTATCGTCAGCGGCACGTGTGAACTCTGCAAAGAAAAGGTTGGAAAATAATATCGGGACTGTAGAGAGGGGCACAGGACGATACGCCGCAGGTCCCAGAATGCCTGACGAAAAGGAAGAGGGCAGAGATCAATGCTGTAGGCTTAGGCCGGCGATGGCGGGTCTGTCGGTTCCACGGAACAGAGACTCTACGTCCTGTACTAAGCGGAGTAGTCGGGCCGCGTTCTCTCTCGGTTCGATTGGCGTTGGCGTCTATTAGACAGAGCGCGCCAAATTCACACGAATGAGAGAGAGAGAGAGAGAGAGAGAGAGAGAGAGAGAGAGAGAGAGAGAGAGAGAGAGAGAGAGAGAGAGAGAGAGAGAGAGCTTGGGTAGCGCAGAGATAATCCTACGAATTAAGCAGCGGCGACGGGATGGAAGGTTGCGATAAGGAAACTGTCTGAAAACGCCCTCAATTAACGTTGAGAGCGTGTCGGAGCTCAACATTTCACTCGCATACTAGCCAGCACCAGCTTGACTCACCCGGTGATGAACTCGCGCACGGACAGTGTGCGTGTCTGTGGGAGGCGCACAAAACGCTGATACAGGCGCACAGACACGCGCACACACACTCACACACACACACACACAGAGACGGGGAGAGAGAGAAAGAGAGAGAGACAGAGAGAGAGAGAGAGAGAGAGAGAGAGAGAGAGAGAGAGAGAGAGAGAGAGAGAGAGANGAGAGAGAGAGAGAGAGAGAGAGAGAGAGAGAGAGAGAGAGAGAGAGAGAGAGAGAGAGAGGTGGGCAGGAGGAATCAGTGATGGCAAACAAGGAGAACTTGGAGGAATGGCAAGGGAGGAGTTGGAGATGGGCAAGGTTACCAGGGTGAAGCTGCAGAACACAGCGTGACAGTTCGAACAACTTCGAAAGTTTGAATCACAGAGGCAAACCGCTGTGCCTATGGGCCTGGGTACTGTGCAAAGTTGCCCACCCGGTATGGAGGGCAGACCGGGTAAAACAGGGTCCAGGCCCAGGCCCCAATGTCACGGTCCCGATTGCAAATTTGCACACGGGCCTGACAGGTGCAAAAGACAATGAATTAGGCCCAAAAGGGCATTTCGCTCTCACCACATTTTTTAGGGGCACTTTGGCATGTAGCTCAACTTATAGGGGTATTTTGCAAATTATCGCCCCCCCCCAAAAAAAAGAGGCCAAGAAAAAAAGAAAAAAAAAAAGGAAGGGGGAACGAGCCCAGGTTCTGTCTAACGAGAAGGCTTCAGCGTGCATGGCACGGCTCAGGACAAGAGTCTACTTACACAAACATTCTAATTGCATCTGGAGCTGGAAAAAGATGGTGGACCCAATACATTCAAAATGTTCAATCAGGGCATATACTCACACAAACACTTTTCTACTTATTTTTGGACGGACCTGCGGCCGTAAATGCGGTCAGGTATGGTAGCGTGAGTACGCCCTCAATCGGAATGCATCTGGCGCATAAGGAGTCCCGGTGGGTATCGAATTCTCGGCAGAAGAGTGAGGCCGTAAGACTCCGTCGGACCGAAGTTATTGTTGACGTCATGCAACCGAAGCAAGCGGCAATGGGGAGAGAAGGAAGATGGAATGGCCAAGTTCGCCGACGTTTTGGCGGATGAGTACTCTTCCGACAAGTGACGGCCTGCCTGGAAGCAAAAACAAGCAGCGTTGTGTGTGTGTGTGTGTGTGTGTGTCTGTGTGAGGGGGGTGGAGAGAGAGATGTAGAGCGACACAAGAGGTGGAAAAAGCCGGGCAACCTGCTGTCACATGGCCAAGAGAGCGGAGGGAGAGTGGAGTAGATGTCGGGATCCAACCTGGTCGGAAGTCACCAAGCAGCAACTGAGGAGACTGTCGAGATCGCGACTGGCCTGCGGAAGCGACGAAATATCGCCCGACCAACTATGCCACTCGTCCTCCGCCCAATCCCGTCCTGCTGTCTCTCTGCGGGGAATAATCTGCCAATCAGGCCAGAACTTACCACCTCTAGGAAGAATTCGGCAGGAGCCACGATCGTGATCATCTGAGTGCACGCTGCCGCGAACCTTGCTACCTACGGTAGTCGCGCAGGTGGGGGGGACCACGTGGTGGGCAGTGGCGTGTCTCCTCGATAGCACTACGTTCTAATCTCTGCGCCACATCAGCCACGCCGCGGATGGACTGTCAAACATTCGCCGCTCTCCATCGGCCGTCTCGTCATTACCTATTCCCGCCATCCTCCGCGGGCGGGGAGGCCTCGTGCTCCACGTCAGCATCTTCTTTTTCTGTGCCTCGCCCGCCATCTAGGGTGACGTACTCATATGGTCTGCGCTTAGCGTCGCGTCATGGAGGAAGGACACGTGGCATCACTGTACCCAGCGTCCCTTCCAATGGGCGAGTTACGAGGTCGGCGGTCGCGGCGATTACTGCGGGCTTCCGCCGGCGGCCGATCGCGGAACAAGGAAAACCAGATAGCGGGGGAGCAGTAGGGCGGCGATTGCCGCGAGCCTCCGCCCGCGACGGCGGAACGGCAGGGGCGCGCCGGCGATGGGGTGGTAGTGGTTGTGATGGTGCAATGCCGGCGCCTGGGTGGAAGGCGACCACGGAGGGGAGCTGTCGCGATCACGGCGCACGTGGTCGCAGGGCGCCGTCGTACGCGTGGCGGTTTCCGGCCCTCGGGGACCAATGCCACGTCAGCATCACGGTTGCCTGGCCATCGATCCTGCAAGAGGACAAATCTCTACCTAGCCGGCGGTGGCGGCGCGCACTTGCTTCCGCTTGTGCGGCGGCTCTGCGCCGGCCCTCATCGCCGCCGTCGCGGCCATCCCAATCCCACTCGTCATCACTCTCATGCTCGTCATGTCTGAGCTGGACTAATGGGAGAGCGAGTAGAGTTTCATTATTGCGACGGAGGCGATATGTCGACCCGTTCCCCGGAGGAGGCTACAAAGAGAGGTGGCGACGGCGATTGGGCCAGGGCCATCCCGACTCCGCCCATCTCCTCGTTGCGCGGGCGCTGGGGGAAGGGGGCGGGGAAGGGTTGATAGGGGTTGGAGAGGCAGATAAGGGCCTCCCTTTCGGCAAGCGGGCGAGTATTGATTCCGACCGACTTCCGCGTGCGGTCAGAGATGCGACGATGAAGGCAGTGGATGAGTTGGGGAGGAAGGTTACGGTTGGTGACGTGGCGTCACGTGCGGGACTCAAGCTCAGCGAGGCGGAGATGGCGTTGCGCGCCTTAGGCACGGATGCCAACGGCTATCTTCAGGTCTCAGAGCAAGGAGATGTGCTGTATGGATTTCCCTCCAATTACCGGAACATCTTGAAGGCGAAATCGTTGTCCCTCAAGTTGGCCCCAGTGGTCGCGAAGTTGAAGGAAATGGGATCATATCTGGTGCGGGTGACTTTCGGGACGACTTTGCTAGCCTCCATTGCGCTCGTGTATACTACCATCTTCGTCCTACTGTCCTCCAAGAGCGATAGTGACAACAGGAGCAGTAATCGGAATGGATTCCGCAGCATGGAACGGAGGGGGCCTGTCCTGTATGTCAATCCCTTTGACGTTTTGTGGTACTGGGATCCCTACTACTATCAGAGACGTCGGATGAGGATGAGGGAAGCAGGTGGGTCGATGAACTTTTTTGAGGCTGTCTTCTCCTTCGTCTTTGGAGATGGAGATCCCAATGAAGGATTAGAAGAGCGACGTTGGCGACAGGTAGGCGAGCTCATTGCTTTGAAAGGCGGCGTCGTGACAGCGGAGGAACTGGCTCCGCTTCTTGACCCGCCTCCTGTTACGAGGGACAGGGACGGTAGCCTCCAGCGGGCCAGTGATGATGAATCTTTCGTTTTGCCTGTGCTCATGCGGTTGGATGGCACGGCCGACGTAGACGAACAGGGCAATCTACTGTACAGGTTTCCGGCTTTGCAACGTACAGCCAAGGATGCATGGGACTGGCCCCGCATGAACGAGGACAGCGGAGGATCAAGCGATTATTTTCAAGAAAATCGATGGGAATTCAGTGGTGCTACCTCTCTTCAGCAGGCGTTGGCAATAGGCCTGGGGGCGGTGAACCTCATCGGCGTCGTCATTCTTGCGAGCATGCTAAGGAACCCTGCCACCATCATGCAAATACGAGCAGGGGGCTCTCTGTCGGGGAGTTTTATCCCGTTTGTAAGTCAGACTCTTCCATTTCTACAGGCATATGCTGCTTCCTTTTTTGCGATACCTGCAATACGTTGGCTTCTGCTGAAGAAGCGTAATGCGGAGATTGACAAGAGGAACAACACAAGACTGGGTTGGGCTGTACACGTTGGACGACCCACTGCGCCGCTCCGTCGGAAGCTGCTAAATGCGCGGCAGCAAGCACAGCGCATCACAATTGACAAAGATCAAATCATATACACAACAGAGAAGGATATTTTGGAACAAGATCTGGAGGCCGTGGAGTGGGAGAGGAGGCTGAGGGAGCGGGAACAAGCCAAGGAGTAGGGTTGAGTTGATGAGTCACGCGCCGTGTTTGTTCTTCTTCAACTTCTCAAATGGAAGTCTGACTGCTGGTATCCTCCTCTTTTTCAGCCCTTGTCCAACTTCACGTGATCCAGCTTTCCGCATTGGTCCTATGTCCTTCCGATTGATTCAGCGACTGTTCCAGCTTCAGAGCTTCAGGTCCTGCTTCTCAATATCTATAAGATACAATCCAAGCCATCCATCCGAGTCCTGTTTCTCGCCAACAGTCCATTCTAACGACTTGGGATTCAAATCCTAGTCCTGTTTCTCATGACCTTTCAGGTTATGACATGTTCTTTATTACCACGATGTGGACTGTCCTGTGATGTGGAGAGAGAGAGAGAGAGAGAGAGAGAGAGAGAGAGAGAGAGAGAGAGAGAGGAGACATTCTTTTTTAAAACGAAGCAAGGATCAATTATCTTGCTCTCCTGGCTGTGGAACTGTCAACGGAAAAAAAAAAAAAGGAGACTGTCGAGATTAAGTCTGGTGGGAAATCGCCAGACAACAGCTGAGGACATTTGTACCTTTTCAGAAAGTTTCGATAACGCTGAGCGGCCATATTTTTTTTTTCTTTGCTGGCTTTGTATATGCGGACGTAGCCACTCTCAGGGATGTAGTAATAGACTCATCATGGAAAACAAAGGGGGAGGATATAGCAATCATTGTAAGGCCAGCGATTTATAATGATCGAGATTTGAAAAGGCGTCGTAGGGTAAGAGTCTGTGACCAGGGGGGCAAGTCCCACTTGGCCGAATTCTTCATTTCCGGCCCTCACATCTTCGTAATGCTGAGGATATGGGTAAGTGAGACTTGGGGCCTCGCCGCACTACTCACCAAATATGGTGTTCGGTGAGGTAGTGGGGCTGCACTACCTCACCAATTCCCATTCGTCAGAATGCAGTCAGAATGTAGTCAGAATGTAGTCCGAATTCGTGCGGATTTTAGTTGGTGAGGGCTCACCATAAATGCACGGAATCCCAGCCTGCAAATCGTTCATTTGGTAGGAGCTTTTGGGCACGCACACACGAGTCTGGTGAGTTTTCCACTCGTCCAGACTCCAGACTGCTGGTCGGGACAGACCTCTTGTCCTTTTCCTTTGTCCTTAGCGATTCTGTCGGGACACGATTCCTCCCAAAAGCGAACTCTGGGTAAGGCTCCCAGCTTGACTAAAAAAAAAAAAAGAAGTTTGCCGAGGTGGTCTGGCGAGGCCTCGGTTTGGTGAGGTTTGGGGCATCATCGCCACACCACTCTCGAAATGTGAAAAAGACAAAAATGTGGAGGGTGCATCTGGCCATTATCTAGCGGAAAGTTCATTCTCATTTTGCACATTTCGAGAGTGGTGTGGCGATGCCTTTTGAGTTCTCGCCGTGTTGGTGAGGTTTTGAGTCCTCGCTGTGTTTTGGTGAGCACTCAGCAAACATTTTCAAGATTGGTGAGTAGTGCGGCGAGGCCCTTGGCCCCACGAGAATATGGGTAAGTGAGACTTGGCCCCAGGCCACTGGGTTCGTTTGCAGTTAGTCGCAGCCAGACTTAGTCCGAAGCAGTACGTTTTTATATGGGGATTTTACCGGGCAGTAGTTTGAGGGCATAGTCACACTAGAACTTCTGTAAGGATTTCTGGATAATTGCGGTCGGCGACATCGAAGTAGGGCTCTGATTACGGTGATATGTATCCTAAGACTGTGCTAGTGTGAGTGTCCTCTCAGTGGCAGATTATTTAGCCAGGGGATATAATTGGTAGCGTGTGACTGGAAGTAATACTGGGGCACTTCTGTTTTTTTTTTTTTTTTTTTTTTTTAGGGATACCGCGTGGGGCCCACGCGGTATCCTTCCAGGTTTGTCAAATAGAAGTTTCAGACGCCTGAGGCTGGGACGTACGGTGCCATAGCTTTTTTTTTTTTTTTTTTTTTTTTTGGTGCCATAGCTTGTGCCCTACTGGTGTGACTGGGTCTTCTGATAGTGGGCTTAGATTTAGGCAGTCACAGTAGTCGAGCTGTTGTTGATTCTGCATTTAGTATGGAGACTCTAGTTAAATAACAACTTAAACTTTTTGTGTTCTGTTGATGCAGGTTTGTCCTCACTGAAGCTAATCTGAGTAACCCTCTCAATACCGGGTAGGGTTGTGAGGTCCCCGGCCTCTATTAACGATTGATAATAGAATTTTGTTGTCGAATTGTTGTCGACTGACAAACGAAGTTGCTTCAACAGAAATAATCAGACACTAACGTCAATCATGGCACTAGCACCCATTTCAGACACTAACGTCAATCATGGCACTAGCACCCATTTCTAATTGCATTTTGGACTGAAAGTAGGAAAAATAGAAAACAGACCTGATTTCGAAGGTTTTTTTTTTTTTTTTAAACATCAAGGCTCTTTTCTTTACAAATTAAGAAGTTCGACGCCGGGAACCTCACAATTCAACCCGGGGTTATCCCCTCACAATTCAACCCTGGGGTTATCCTGGCAGCATCAGCCAATTTCGCTTATAGAAACGTTGTTCTGCACATGTTCCCCCCGACCTAAGACATTTTTCAACCCCACTAATCTTCCCTCTACTATCACTTCTAGTCTACATCCATTTTTACTCACTACTGAGTTACCAGGTGCTCTACCTATCTCGCTATTCACAGGCCAAATTCGGCCTGAGACCGGCCGAATTCGAATGGAATTAGGTGAGGAAGGGTTTTTTTTTTTTTTTTTAACAGAGTAAAGGTAATTGAAATGACCGTATCCCGAATTTACCTGAATCCGGACAGTTCTTTTTTTTTTTTTTTTTAAACCATTGTCAACCTTTATTGCCGATTGAAATGGGGAAAAAAAAAAATAAAAAAAATGGGGAGGTCGGAAATTCCTCCGCTACTGGGACAATTACCCAGCTGCGGTGCAGAGAAAGGGGGGACTTAGGGTCAGATCCTACTACCCTGGGTTATTCATTTTTCACCCTCGATTACGAAGATCAACGGTCAGAAATGAACAATAGGGAGCTGCGGTGTATTTTTCACCGTCGATTACTAGGAACAGTGTTGATCTCAGTGCACCACCGTTCCTGCAGCCTCTTCTCTGGGAAGAAAGGAGAATCACAAGGCCATAAAAACCGCCCAGCCCAGAAAACAGCTCCCTCTTTCAAAAAAAAAAAAGAAAAAGAAATAAAGAAGAAGGGAGATATTATGGAAAAAAAGAGGGCCACGTCTACAAGTACTAGGCGATGTCCTTCGGGACATCCGTTAAAATTGGAACGATACAGAGAAAGAAGATTAGCATGGCCCCTGCGCAAGGACGACACACATAAATCGAGAAATGGTTTTAAAAAAAAAACAAAGCAATTACTACATTCTTCCCCCGAAGACGAAGTACGGTCATTATAGCTGTATTTGAGTTATATTTCAGTCCAAGTACAGCTACAATGATCGTCGGGGCTTTTAACTTCGACGTTCCTGGCCACAATTTTGGCATTTTTTGAACCGAAATCTTCAGGGCATCGCCACACCACCCTCGAAGTAGTTACATGCCCAAAGGAGTACGTTTCCGCCGTGACCAGTCGCTAAAATTAAGGGCATCGCCACACCACCCTCGAAATATGCAAAATGAGAATGAACTTCCCGCTAGAACATGGCCAGATGCACCCGCCACATTTTTGTCTTTTTCACATTTCAAGAGTGATGTGGCGAGGCCCTAAGTTTCCTCCGAACACGAGATAATTTATGTCTTTTCAGGACATCCGGGGCCATGTCTCACTTGGCCGGATTCATCGTATCTATCTGGCCATTGGTCTTCATAATGGACGGCCTGAAATCGAGAATCCCGGTCACCGGCACCTGGCCCCCGGGTCACACTTAACCGCATTCGTCCTCACCGCTCACCGTTCGTGGATCTTCTAGTCGATGGCGGCAAACATATAATCCTACCAAATTGGAACCTAGTGCCCCCTGTATTGGGGACGATACAAGGAAGACTACCACAACCCGAAGGGCAGAAAAACAAAACCCAAAGGGCAGAAAACAAAACCCAAATGTAACACAAAAAAAAAAATGCAACCTTCGCAGTCACTTACAATTTCAACAAAGAGCAGACCAGCAGCAGCAGCAGAAGAAGAAGAATTGAATCTTACGCTTCACGTGCCGCTCCAAGAATCGAACACACACCCTCCCGGTGAGGAGGCAAACACTCAACCAAACGGCTAAGTGGACTGGGGTGAAAATTAAGCCCCAAGATGAGCACTTAACCCCACCCCAGCACGGGTACTCGTTTTTCCCCGCGACCCGTTGTACCCAGTCACACACACCCAACACAAGAAGAAGAAGAAGAAGAAGAAGAAAGAATAATTGAATTGAATTGAAATACCGAGGCCGATCGCTATGGGTCCATGTTCAAATGATGAGCATTACAGCACTTACACAGACAAACAGTTCAAACAGGGGCCAACTATCTAGCGTACACGCTTGACAGAATGTCCATTACAATTCCGCGTATAGATGACTCAGTTTAGAAGAAGAAAAGAAAACTAACAACTATGTATGGGAACAAGGAGCCTAGGTCCTTGCTCCTACTTATGCAGCTAAGAAGAAGAAGAAGCGGAATAGTGAAAACAGTGGCCATAGACTGCTTCTCGCGCGTGTTTTTTTTTGTCAACAGATAGACATTCCATCTCGGCATGCACAGTCTCGGTAGAAACGCGCATAATCTCTGATGCGTTTCGGCCAGGCTGCGCTCCGGGCACTTCGCAGAGGGCTTGGGCTTCTCTCAGGATCGTCTTACGGGACTACCAACTTTCCCGACCATCAAACATAGTGATAAAACAGAGGCCAAACTGCTCTTCGCACACGCTTCCAAAAAACAATCATTACATTTCCGCATTCACTGTACTCAGCAAACGGCCGCATGCGCTGTACTCAGCAAACGGCCGCATACACTGTACTCAGTAAGCGGGCGCATACACTGTACTCAGCAAACGCGCACATTGCCCGACGCCGCGTCTCACTGCCCAAAGTGTATGCACATTGCCCGACGCCGCGCATACACTGTACTCAGCAAACGCGCACACTGTACTCAGCCTGCTGGAGACGACTCCTGTCTCTATTGATGCCACACCTCAGTTACCGCATCTTGCACTCCTCAGAGGCCTTCTCCCCAGCTCTACCTTGCAGCTCGAGCAGGCGGAGGACAAGAACAGTCGAAAGAGCGTAGAGAGGAGGAAAAAGGGTCACATCGGAATTGAGACAGGATGAGTTCAACATCTCGGTGAAGATCGAGAACGAGATGCCGGCAAACTTCACCGAGTGTGCGATCTGATTTGACCTCTCCGGCCGCGAATGGTCGGCGATCGAACAGTTCGGATATCGTACGCTGATCGTACAAAATCCTATTTTTTCTCATCCTCCACTCTTCAAAGATCAGTCGAAAACAACCTCTCTCTCTCTCTCTCTCTCTCTCTCTCTCTCTCTCTCTCTCTCTCTCTCTCTCTCTCTCTCTCTCTCTCTCTCTCTGTGTCTGTGTGTGTGTCTCTGTTTGTGTGTGTGTCCTCCTTGCCTTCCTCCTGGATGTGCATGTGTGTGTGTGCGTGTGCGCGCGATACAAGAGAATGAGGCGTTTGTGTTGTGTGTCTCTGCGTGATGTGTATGTTGTGTGTTGTGTGTGTACTCGAACAGAGAGAATGAGTGCAGGGGGGTAGGAAGCAGTTGTGCCAGTCAGTCGCGCACGTCGATTTGGAAACTGACGCTTTTCGTTTGCTTCGGATCGAAGGAATGCCAAGGGGTCGTCGAGGGCCTCTTGTTCGATAAAAGGGGAAACGAAATGCGAACGACTAAGGGGCCAATGAACCCCCCTTAAAACAAAACGGGCCAAGACGAACGCCGGTCCAGAATCGTGAATTTCTACCTCCGAGCGACATGACAACAACACAAAGGTGTCCTTCGTGACATTCCTAAAATTAAACTGGAATGATGCACAGAAGATTGCCATGGCCCCTACTCGAGAACGACAGGAACTAGGAAAATGACACAAATGCAATTGTGGAAGAACGTGGTCAGAAAAACTGGGTTGGCATCAATAGAGACAGGAGTCGTCTCCAGCCTGCTGGAAGGATGAATCGATGCACCGAAGGGAAACAGAGAAAAAAGAAAAGATGTGTCGCTCCGTGGGGAGAACCACGGATAGAGAATCAAGAAAAGACGAGGAAGAGGTGGACGTGGAACGCGAAGGGTGTTCTGGGGCATGCACCGATATGCACTCCGCGCGCGCGTGTGTGTGTGTGTGTGTGCGTGTGTGTGTGTGTGTCTGTGTGTTTGCGTTGTCACGTTCGCCCCGTGTGTGTATGTGTGTGTCTCGT